ATTGAAATATAGGTTTGATAAATTCAAGCCTATCGTCTTCTCAGCTTTTCCCAGGAACATATCAATGTTTATAGGTCGTTCGATTGATCAGATTCTCTGCTTTCTTAAAATGACAACATTGCCGAGTAATTCTGCCTCTACGAGGAGATATAATGATTTTCCTGATGCTATATTGGTTACCACATTCAAGCCTGCCGTACTCTCAGCTTTCAGCAGTAACATGTCAGTTTTTTCACGCCAGTCAATCGAGCAGAATCTCTTGCTTCACAAAAATATATATTTTGTTGGGCGATTCTGCCTAGTTGAGGAGATATGGCTATTTTGATAAAGCTATCTCAACTAGCGGAATGGTGCTCATTGATTTTCACTTAGAAAATACCTATATCTCCTCAACTAAGCCAATTTATTCAGCCAAATATATATCCTTCTGAATGTAGAGGTTCCGCTGGATCGAACTGTGAAAATATATTCATATGTTTCCTGGCAAACCTGTGAAAACGGTTGGTTCGAAGATGGCAACGGTGTATAACGTATTGATTGCTCTATAGTGATCAATTAGAGTGAATGAGCGCGACTGCGCTAATTGAAGTGGATTTAAAAAATTGCTATATCTCCTCGGATAAGCAAAATTGCTCAGCAGGATATATAATATTCTGAATGTAGGAATTCATTCATTCATTCATTCATTTGTGGGGTTTCATACGGGGAATATTTTTGCAACTGCATCTTGGAAAACCAAACTTCAGTTCTTCTTCGAATTTATCATATGTAGTTCCATAAAAAACGATAAAAACGATGGAATGAGCCGTTGGAATATTTTCCTTCCTTTAATAAAAGTCTCTGCGCTTGACAAATCAATTATCCAAGTTAGAATTTCATGAAGACAGATGATTCGCGACGCTGTATCGTTGGCTGCGCTGAAAGAAGAATGGCAAGGAAGGAAGAATGTGATATTAGTGATATTGGTGATGACAGGGAGGCATAAATTCGTGATGAGTTCGATTTGCTAATTAAACAAGTAGATAAACCACTGGAATATCTTCCTCACTTGACTGAGTTAATGAAGTCTTCTGTGATGAATGAATGATGACGAATGAAACCATCTGAAAGATAAAATTATTTTAATTGAAATGGAATTCGGTTGAATTTACAGAAGATTCATTTTGGTTCAGTTATGTTACTCTTTCAAAGAGTTGACAATCAAAGTAGGTCTTCCAGATGACTTCCTTATGGTGCTGGTCGATTTGTTCATATGAATGTAAGGATATGTTTTTTCACTAACGCTATCGTTTTCTTCTGAGTCATTGCCATGTTCAAATGTTTGATGGTGATCTTCGATTCAAATACCTGAGCATCTTTTAAGAGCACATATCGTTTGCTCTGATAGGTTTGCTGGCTTTGCAGTGCAGTTGCTACGGCACAAAATTTCCAGTTTCAATCAAATTTCTCTAGCACGAAAGTCACTGACCATTGCTTGCACACAGAGCTGATTTCAAACTCAACGAACCAAGAACACCGCCTGTACATCAAAACAATTTACTACTTGATGTCTCGTATAACTTTATTGTATCACATTAATTGTATAATACTAGTGCTCTGAATAGAAAACAACCATTATCTTGCATCCGTGTATGAGTGCGATGAAATTTCATGAAATGCATATACATGAATGAATGAATATAATATGTATGCGATGAAGAAAGTCTGCTATCAGAGTCAGCTGAGCAGAAGAGATTGATCGGTCTTTGGTGATTTGTTGAGCCGTTGTTAAGGAATGAAAATATGAATGATGCTGAGAAAATTTTCGAACAGCAGACAAATATGTACGAATGATTATGATGAAGTAAGTGGTTGTGAGGGAAGGATGACAAGCGAATAAATGGTTATGAATGAGATTCGATGCAGCGATTCCATTCTGTTAGCTCAATGAATGAATGAAGCAGTGTGAGGATGAAAAACTGTTTAAGCCCAAGCGTGAAATCGTCATAGCTTATCGGTTCATAAAGCTTGATTACATGATATATGCTTGGATATAGAGAAATTGTGTCATTACCATCAACACGTAATAATCCACAGTGCATTAACAACATGTCGATGAAAAACGAAAAAGCATCATTTTCATAGAAAGCCATCATAAATTGTTCGTCATCACCATCATCATCAGTATCATCACTCAATAAAACAGCTCTTGTTGACTACTCTTTCACCTGTTCACTTATGTGAGCATGCATAAATGATGGCATCCGAGCGGAATTTCATGTCAGTTGGAAACCGACCGAAATGACTTTTCATCATTCCGGCATCGGAACGGATCGGCCGGAATCTGATCGAATTGACGTTCTGGATTCTCGACAGTCGAACTTCCGACAAATCTTCCAAATTGCTTGATCGAAATCCGATTGTCGGAATTCCGACCGAAATCGTCGGATTTTTCCGACGATCTCGATCGGATGCCATCACTAGAATGAATTCTGACGTTTCTAAAAGTCAAATTTGCCTTAAATGGCAACACTGAGTTGTAAGCATTCTCATTATCAATACCATTGTAATCATCAGTGAAGGGTATCAGTAACACCATCGCTGTAATCTCCACTAACTGAATATAACCGCTATCCATTTCAAATCACTCTATGATCTTTTTTATTTTCAGATCATTTTTTTTGTTCAATTGCAATCAGCTGATACGTTATTAATCTTGCTTTTCTTTCTGTTTGTAAAAAAATGGTTTNAATGCTCTTTGAGACATTATCGCTTTCATAATCTGTAACATTGTCGGTATTTCGCTTGATATTCATCAAGCTTAGCTAACACAGTAGCGATTGTCGAAGTAATGCATGAGAAGTTGGTTGCTTTTGTCACCTCATCTCATCTCATCATAACGACAAAATCTTTATCCTTCTCTTAATCGGTATAATCTTCAGTCTAAATGCACTTATGGGATTCGCATTCTTTTAAAGCAATAAACAGACTCGCACAATCCTTCGTCATATTCGTTCCACTTCGAATCAATTCACGAAAAGAGTCGCTTTTCTCAATTGCAAATATTCTCGCATATTATCCTCATTTCGGTAAATTATTTCATCACAAATTTCAATTATTCTAATGATAGTTCCTCATGTTATTCATGATCTGTTTAGTCGTTCATGATCTGCTCCTTTATTTAAATTGTCTTCTAGTTGTCCAACTTTGCTTCTTGCTATCTAAACTCAGCATTATCCGTTAAAAGTTAATGAATTTGATAAAAAGTTGACATTATCCGTTAAAAGTTAGCATTAATGAATTTGATGATCAAAGGAAGATGGAGTAGAAAGATTAAGAAATTTCCAGATAACTCCAAAAATATATAGCATCAAACTTCGAATACATTTGCAAATTCATAGACAGACTTCGTTCATTTGATCTGTTACCTGTTAAGTAGGTGATATCGGATTTTCGCGGGTGAAATATTTTAAATATAGCGATTTGAAGACCATGTAGATTGCTAGTTATTATTTATGGAGACTGTGTCCATCCATATCACATATCACAGATTTTTTATAAGTAGTGGCAAAAAAATTCGATCGGGAGCTGTTTTTTAGCGATCTTTCCTATCAGTAGATCGATTCGAGAATTTCTATCTCCAGTTGTTATCGAACAGTTCACTCAACTTCCGCAATATGCACGCCTTCTCATAAAGCCGATAACATTGCGCTATGAAGACGGTTTCTTAATTAGTTCAGTTTAAGAAACATCTGCAATCGAGGTAGAAATTCTTATCGTTAATGTTCTGTGTTTCACGTTTCAAATTCTCTCAGAAATAACTGTCAGCTTTACGAAGGCTGGTAGTTCATATGCGTGCTTGTAGCATTTTGTTGTATTGAAGTGAAAAGTTATCGAGTGATCAATAGGAATCCTACGCCATATCATCCAAGACTCGCTCAATAGAAATCTCGATTCACAACTGAACAATCTCCGGAATATTCTCACTTTTTGATGCGTGAATTAACTATTAGACATCATTCGTTCACCGTTGCTTTGGAACGATATTCAGTATCATTCGCTTCAATTTACATGCTTCTTCCTTCCTGTAATTTATCATTTAATCAGCAATTAAAAGCAATAACAAGTTTTTGCTTCACTCTTATCACCAACAACAGAAATATCACATGCTTCTTCCTTCCTTGACATACTTCTTTCCGAGCAGTTAACGTTATTAGCGTAAGGAAGCATTCGGCTTCACGAAATTCGATCATTGATTTGGTGAGCATCAATATCCAGGGTTACTTTCCCATGTTGCCCAATGATTTCTAAGGAGAGGGACTCGAAATGAGTGCGAAAGTACACTCCGCTTGATCTCTTAATTGCGATTTAATTTTATTGCTGGCTCTATTCAAGCAAGTGATTGATTTGTTGCTGTGTTTCACACAGAAAACAAATCATTTTGAGATTTTAGAAATTTTCAACTCTTTTGCTTTGTGCACTTGTTTTTATTGAACATCCTTTTGATGAACCACTCTATTCTGCTGCACTGATTAGACTTTTATTTCAGTACGAAACTTGTGGGAAATTCATTGTTTCAGCGCTGTAGTGAAGAAGGCAAATCACACAAAATATCCATCCACATTCAGCGTGACTCTGTAAATCGCTCGTTAAAGAATTCGCAACGTTCATTTCGCAGAATTTTCAGCAGAATCATGACTGAGGATCGTGGTTCTTACGAGGGTTCGTCAACAAAAACTGCATCACTTCAATCTTCACCGAAATCGTCAAGTGTACAGCGACAACAGGTTGATACTGTGGTCATGACTTCTGACACGCACAGTATATGGGCTAAGTTCAATCCACCTCGGCGATTTTACTTACTGAAAACTGCGTTCGTGCTGCTGTGCTTATTCGATACCGTTCATTGGGCTTATATGTTGAGGTTTTGATCTGTTTGTTTTGATTAGCTGATTGATATAACATTGAGCACTTATCCATCCGAATTGAGCATTGTCGATTGAGTAATGTGATTATGACGAAATTAAGGGATGATGATGAGACATCACCGAACGTATGGAAATTTTATTTGAGAATCAATGCGTATGATCAATATTATTTGGTCTCACGCATGTTTGCGGATATTTTGGTTTGTATTATTGGATTGGGTACGTGCATGTGGACAAGGAAGGTCGCTTTATCAATACCGTGTCTTGTTGTGCAATCTGTTCTTATTTGTGTGAGGTCAGCCTTAATCCTTCACCAACAATCCTTTTTTCTCCAGCGACAAATGATATGCTTTTTTCTGGACCATGATTCTCGATTAAAAATCTTTACTGGAAACCATGCATGAATACTGCTGAGTTAGTTTTGGTCATGTTCTGTGAGATAATTTCAAAATACCCTCAAAAAAAATGGTCCACGAGAAGTGACTGTACTGTTGAACTGAGTGTGTTAACCTTCAAACTATGAACGTCTACTCATAATGAAACATTGTGATTCTGCAGAGATCAGTTACTTGGAGATGATCACATTGCTATCCGCGCAGTATTTCGGGCAAACAAAATATTCTGAATAGCTGCAGAATAATTGATTTTAACTCGACGATATACTGTGCACGCATCAGATCATGCTCAATAAGATGAGGGCAAAATATTGCAATGTTATTGTGATAGAATTTAACCACAACAACGGTCTAAAGAGAATAAAACATGGTTAATTTGAACCACGTTCAGGTTATCGGTATGGGTGGCACGAAGGCGACTGCCACAAGACTATCGCGTTGAAGATATGGTATTCGTTGCGTTCGAATTTATACTACCCTCCTTATGGTATCATTTTGCTCGTTTGTGCTAATCACCATGTAATTTCGTGCACCAGCCCAACTTCGCACCATTGCAGTTTCCATCTTTCACTTCCACTCTTTCCATCCATCACGTTCACATTTCTACCAACTCTGCAAGCTGCCCGACTATCGCTCAGTTCGAAGTTTTTCACTGATAGTGAGTTAGTTGTTCACTGGATTGATTTTATCAAATCGGAATGCGTCGGTGAACTGTTGTAATTTTTCAGGATGTTGTTATCAATCAGTGTGGTGAGGACAATAAAAGCAGTGTGCGAATATGATCGCCTTCACGAAGGTCCAAAGCCACCGGTCATTGTTCTCACTGTCAAGAATGACAACGAAGAATCCGTGCAAATACAAATCAACCCTTGATTTTCGATACATCCATGTTTCTTTCTCTTTTCTTAGCGAGCGGACAAAGAACATTATCGCGCAGATTACCAATAAAACACTGACAATGAGATTGATGCCCAACGACAAATGTTCTATTGCTAACGAAAAACCTCAAAACTTTGAATAGTCTTATTTCAAACTATTATAGGTACTAATTAATGTAAGCAAACTTCTTCCCTGATCACCCCTATACGATCGTTTCCATCTCTTTCGATTATGTGAACAGCACAGCAAAAGCATCCATCGACAGTCGAGCTATCCCTAAGGAGTCGAATAACAACTTATACAAATTGTCTATCAAGCTCAGTTTCAGCCACTTTCTTTCCTCGTTGAAAGCGTCAAAAATTACAGATCCATTAAATCGGCTGATGTAATATTTGAATACATGAATTAATTTTCTTGAAAGCATTGAATCTGTTTTGCTGAGAATATAACTTTACATTATTCATGCGTGTGTCTGAATTACAAAAACATACTGCTGATATATCACATCTGTGTTATACTTACTGATTGTCATGCTACAATTTAGATTGAATTCATATCATTAGAATTGTCCATTATTGAATATTTGTGGAAGCAATAAGCGAAGTTTATGATTGATTGCAGCTGTACATCACGTAAACAAAATAAAAATGATTAATTTTAAATTAGCCATACCGAATCGTTAATTCAATGGAATATATTGCGCATAATAAAGTGTATCCATAGGAATGCAGAAAAAAGAATCAAATTAAGTCTCATATGGCGACGGGTTACAAGGGAAAACAAAACAGATACAATTGAAATACAACTATCAATGGTACAATCTGCAGATATCATCATTTTGTAGTGCAGGGTAATGATGAGAGGAGGTGGACGAGGCTTGGGGGAGCACATTCGAATTGGACTTCTGTGACATTTTGGATTAGGGAGCACAAATGGAATAAGGTGAACATATGGGTCGAACAAATGCATAAAGATTGTTAAAAACAACAGGTTGCACATATGACACATCAAGTTTAAAAATTCATCATATGCAAATGACAAAATTTATCATGTTATCTGCAACCAAATATAATTATCGTACAAAAATGCGACAGTGCATCTAGAAAACAAGAATAGAACCAACGATTGTTGCTCTTACATTAAGGAATAGTACCTCTTCAAGGACACTCCGAAATGAAGCATCAAAATTTGATGGACACTCGTTACGTGTGGAAATAAACGGAGAGAGAAATTAATGTTGTGCAAGAGATCAAAAAATGCGTGACGTTCATGATAACGAAAATGATCAAATAATGCGAAATGTCGTGATATATAAGACTTGTGATAACATCACGATGACAATAAACTACAGTCGAGTGCATAACCTAAAAGGCTGACAACGCTTCCGGAAACATATCAGTTGATGATATAATACAAAAAAAAGCAATCATATTCATCGAAAGATGTTTGGTTGTAAATGCTGTGAATATTATAAAATTCTACATCGATCGATCGATCCACAGCAACTTCAGCGTATTAGCATTGCATATAAGTTTTTTTTTATTCGCCTTTCATCAGAACATCTTCCGAATGATTAACTGAATTTGGAATTAATTTTTTCAAGTAGAAAGTCTCCATTGCCAACAATTTTCTCATTAATTCGTTGTTCATAGGATACCTCTCAGAAGAACTCGGAATAATATGATTTGACGTTTCTTTTTTCGGATAATGCAATCTCAATACTCATGTTATTCATCCTCTCAAACACAGTTTATTGTTTATTGAGAAAAATTGGTTCATTAGGTGAAAAAAAACTTCTCTTAAAACAACTGTTCGACGATTTTTCTATTCCATTCGGTTTTCGATTTCATTTTAAGAATTTCAAGTGTTCAGTCGTAAACAACGCAGTTAGTTAGTAGGCAATCGTAAAAACGAAATTTCGACTCGAAAAAGAAACAACGTTGATTTTTTTTCAATTAAATCTGTGAGGAATTTCAATGAGGGAAATTCCAAAAAATTTTTTTCCAGAATAAGAAAAATGTTATGAGATTTTGTAAGTGGGTATTTCGCGATCGAGAACATGCAATTCCATGACTTCAGGAAACTGGCGAATATCATATGAGTTTGTGCAAACAAACTAGTGATGACGTCCGGCCGACAGTCGGTCAGAAAAATGCGACAATTTCGATCGGAATTCGGTTTCCGATCGAACAATGTGGAAGGTCGATCGGAATTTCGACTGTCGGAATGTTAAAGTGTGAATTCGGTCGGATCCGACCAATATGAAATTTCGATCGGATGTCATCATTAAAACAAACACATGGAAACAAACGCTATACAATATAGCACAAAGCACATCTGATCATTTCTTATCCTATCCGAATAGTGACGATTAAGATTGCGAGAATGAAGAGTATTTGAGAAAATGGTGCGAAAAATTAAAGCTATTTACAAAACAGGGTTTTAAAATAAAACAAGACCACTAGAGGCATTGCCCAATACTAGAAGAAGGAAGTAAGGAAACGCATCTCACACCATTCATATGCTTTCCTTGATTCGTTTTTGCTTACATCGTTCCATGAAAGTCCTGAAAGCAGAAAACTTACGAAGACCGTGGAGGGATATTTCACTATCGTAGACTCACAGTCGCGCCGTGACTTCATAAAATTCACTAAAGAGTTTTTGATGCGAATTTTCATCTGTTCGGAAGAAATTTCNGAATCGATGGAATTTGTTGAGTGAGAATTCTGCAAATGAATTTCTTGCACGAAAGACACTAATAAGCACTACTGCTGTTCAATAAGATATTACGTGATAATTGACGGTAATTCTGGAGCCGCGTAAATGTATTTATGCCTGTACTGACGACTCGCTTCGAATTCCACGTAGGTCACGTCTCGACGTGCCACTACGGCTGCGTCACGTAAACGCCGACCAAGTTTCGACGGGATCACGTGATCGTCTTCGGCATGCATTATGAGGATTGGGCATGAGACTCTAAATTATGGTCTATAAAAGCGCAACCGATCGACTGATACACTACCAGTTTTCAAATGTTCACAAAAACTAGGAAAACATCAATCCGGACGATTTTATGCAGTGAGTATTATCACAATCATGAATGCCCTTTTCGGTAATGATATGAGGAGAGAAAGGACGTAAGCTGTTAAAATCTCCAAGGATCCATACGATCATCACGGCATGTACTCACAAAATGGGTTGGTCATTTTTGATAGTAATAATTTAGAGGAATGTTCGGTAGAAGCGATTCACTGTTCATCGCCAACTAACTATTTCAAAACGATATAAGCAGCAATATTGTTTCATCAGATGACAGGAGATGGGCACCTTGTGATACGGAGATCAGAACTCATGTTGAGACCAGAATTTTCGAGAGGGTGTACGACAATATCGTCGAACCATGGCAACCATCTGAATGGAGCTGCGAACGGATGTGATATGATCACATCGTGCAGATTATTGAATGGCGATTCAAGTATCAGTCCAAATGGTGCACCTCCTGTTTCGCTTAACTCCATTACGGCCGCAGATGCTACTCTAAAAGATTGTCAGTGAAATCAACAACTGAATATAAGATTCTGAAATTTACCGAAGAGAATATCAAAGCAAACTTTTACCCATTACTATGACAGCATATGAAATTTTGCGTTCAGAATCATAATCGGTTAAGTGAATTTTTACGTTTTATGGGATATTGAAACAAAATACTTCTGAAATTTTCATTTATTGATCTCATACGCAATCATTTCTTTTGAGTTGTCCATCTCTACTAGCTCACAGTATTTGGTATTTCAACCACAACATCGCCTCTTCACCAAATTAAGCTTCTGTGACCATGACATTCAAATGTTTGTGAATAATTGTTAGAAGTGGCTTAATTCCGATTCAAATTCAATAACGAACCCCGTTCCCATTGAGTGTCCCCAGATGAGAATTTCATTATCACCCGCCAGTCGTTTCACGTAGCGATAAATTTGTTTCGCATCCTGTACAACACCTATTTCTGTTGGAAAGCCCGTTGAATCACCATATCCTTAATGTTACAAAGATGAAATTAAAAAATTCTGCAGAAGAATTTACAGAAAGACAATCCACGAATATGATTCTTTCATTCAACATTCTCAGCTATCAATGGATGAACCACAAAGGATAAATTATTGCTGTAATGATCACTCTGTTCAACCAAACAAGTTTCATGAATGCTGATAACTTTGCTTGAAAGTGAACCAGTGAACTAGCATATTCCAAGTTTATCACTAAATGGAATCGGCAATGGAAGAATTGACAAATCCAATTAAAAACGAACAGTATAAGGAAATATTTTGACTCTATGACTTCAGTAAAAATTCCCTCTGAGCAACAAAAATTTCGGAATATGTAAATCGCTTCATCGACAAAAACGAACAACCTCTATAATCGAGTGCAATCACGTGGAATTCCATCGTCGACAGCACATTGTACAAATCAATGCGATGTCCAGCCGTGCTGAACAAACATTATTACTCT